CCGAGAACGCGTTTCAGAGATCCGAGACCGCACCTCTACGGTCCGAGCCGCGGACGCCCGGGCCGCTGACGCCCGAGCCGCTGACGCCCGAGCCGCTGAGGACGGAGCCCCAGCGGCCTCTTGCTCGTCCGCCAACAGACCCCCGAACGTGTCTCCCAACACAGATACTTCTGCGGCTGCGGCCACAGATGGCGCATCCTTCGGGTGCGGGGCAGTCGTGTAGGGAATCAAGGGGGGGATCAAAGGGGGAGCCATCCCTAGTATGCCTCCTGTGACAGAGGAGTTCCTGGTCGTAGAATTTTGTGGGACTGAAGGCGTATTATTCTGGTCGCTCCCCTCGGTCAATATACCGTTAATCAATTCCCCGTCGACCGATACCCCGTCGGCAGATAGCCCTTCAAATGATAACCCCTCAGCAATGCTATCGTTGCTTGTAACCAGCTGGTTTAAGGTCTCCGGCAGCGGCACTGACACACTACCGCGAGAACCCGCGCCCGATTCCCGTCCATGTTTCGCAGCGTTTAGTTCGTCTTCCGCTTTGTCCAAGGAGCGCGCTGCAGCAGCGGTAAAAGATACCTTCCGACCAGCGCCGGACGCTCTACCGCTTTGGGCGAGTCTGCTTGGTCGGCCGTGAGACTCCTCGTCAGAAAAGGTATCCTCTGCAAGAGGCGAATCTTCTTCCCTGACGGTGCCGATTTCTCTTTTCGGATGTTCTATCCTTGAATATTCGGTTCTGGGATCGTCTGTCCTTGGACCTTCTGTCTTTAGATTTTCTGTTCTCAGATCAGCTGCAGGATGTGCAACTTGACTGAAATTGTCCGGTGCTGTAGCCCGTCGGCCAGCATTTGCTACCATTGGACTCGCAGGCTGAGAATCACACTCCTGGTACGACTCATAGTCTTCCGAGCTAGGAAGCGACTTGAGGAACAGCGGGTCGGACAAAGCGCCAACGAATTCCCTAGGCGAAAGAGCGCTTGAATACGACTGCTTCACTCCAGATCTGCGCTGTTCTAATAACGGATCAGCTAATCCCATAACTGAAAATCAAAGATTATCTATTGCGGTCCACTTACGAGGTGACGAAATAGATGATGACGAGGAAATCTGGGCAGGACTTGTTTTAAGAGGGTGCCTCTGAAAAGTGGAGCTTAACCTAGCTATATTAACGTCGGTATTCACGCCGTTTTAACGCGAGTCCAAATAGTGTGTGCACTCATATTATGAACATAGAATGACAACGTGTCACTTACGCATGAATGATGTTTCTTGGGTGAGTACATACGCTCAATGTTCCGGTACATCTTCTGGACCTTTTCGATGGCTTTTGTGTAGCGTTGTTGAGCCTGAAACGCCTCATTGTAGTTCAATACCAAGTTGATACAAGCGATTTGGCTTTCCTCAAAGAAGTGGCCGAGGGCCGCCCTCAAAATGGTGGAGTCTGTCATGGTCCTATCGATGCCATGGATTGCAATGGTTAGCCTACTAGGCATGAATCGTTGGGGCTGCATTTCATTCTGTTTAACACGGCCTAAGAATGTAAGGCTTCTAAATTCGTCACTGCGGACTGCCTTATAATGTAGATACACCGCGGTCATGCTAATCAGAAATACAGCCCACACCAGGCCGTATAAAATCCACAGCCTGAAGTAACTGTTCACAGGCACATTGGTTATGACCGCTCGGTCAAAGAAAGTCTTCTTGATCCACTTTCCGTTGGCATCCATCTTCTCCGCCGGCGAAGCAGTCCAAATAGCTGGCAGTCCAACCGACATGGTTATCGTGGCCACTAAGATACGGCAGGTTCGGGTTGTTACGTGCGGTCTCAGTGAAACGGTCTCAGTGAAACGGTCTCGATGAGTTGGTCCCCTGTCCCCGTGCGGGCCCTCGATGATGAGGGTGCATGCTGGGAGGGTCGATATTACGAGTGTCTGTATTACGAGTGAAGAACAGGATGGCGCAACTACGTTGGAATAAAAGGTAAAGGTACACGTCGGTTGAAGAATATCTTTTAATGTCCCACCGCCAAAGCTTCGTAAGCCAGTGTCGTTTAGTAAGTATGTGATGACATCTTTGGTCATCCCAATTGTCATCATTGCAGTCATCCGCAGTAGATACCTTGACGCTCGTTAACGCATAACGATCATTGGGGTCTGATACGAGTAACAATTAGTAGTGACATATGTACCCATGCCATGTGTTGTGCTATGTGTGTGTACCATGTGTGTGTGCTATGTGTGTGTATACCGTACTTGGTCGGAAAGCATCTTGTCTCGCAGGGCGTATCAAGAAATACCAAGCGGAAAGGGAGATTCCAAAGAAGACTATATCATACCCCGCAGCGAATTTCAAATCGCGTAGGTCATTTGCAGACATTGCCACATTTTTTTCGGTAAGGGGTGGGGCAGTAATCGGAGCTGGGGAGACCAGTAAAAGCTCGGTTCTCTAAGGAAATGAGGGTCTGCTCTTTGGGATGAGGTGATTTGAGCTGGACATTTTTTAAGGTGGGAACATGATCGATGTAGTGACTTTCTTTTTCCGGGAGTTGAGGCAAGGAGATGACAAATTGGATACGTTGCGAAGGTATGTTGGTCGTCACCGGATAATCCCCTAACCCGACCGGACTGATTGACCCCGGAATGACTGTAGGATGAATGTGGTATTAAAGCATTGCGATCAGGACAGAGTGGTTAGTAAATTGCTGCCTGGTCTGGGAGAGATGATTTTGTATGGGGGTGATGAGAATCTGATTTGGGAGGTCGGTGTTACAACGTTCCCTCTAATTTTGAAGGACTATCCGGAGAGTTTCTCGGCAGTGATGGAGAGTTATAGGTTTATGTTGGTACATGAGGAAAGTGCTATTCGGGAAGGATCGTTAAAGGGTTTAAGCACAATATTGGAGAACAACGTTACGGCAACATTGGATCAATTTGTGAGTCTTTATGAGTCTGTGGTTCTGGGCGGCAAGGCAAACAATTGTCATTTTGCGCGATGTAGTAGCAATAAAATGTTCGCGCTTATGTTCCAACACCTATCGCTCAATCAACGACAGAGCATGCTGCCCACCTATTTATCTCATGCCAGCGATGAAAGTCCCCTGGTACGTAAGGCCTTCGCCTCCAGTCTCGCCCAGGTCGCTGACCACGCTATCACTCAAGAACTCTTCGAGTCCATCTACCCCGCCGCCATCACTGGATGGAAAGATGAATATCTCGAACAGGTCCGAGTCGACTCGCTATGCACTCTCATGACTATGGCCCGGAAATTGTCGCCACCCAAGATTGAGAAACACATCATCTCTACCCTTTCGCGAATCACCACCGACGCTAGCTGGAGAATACGACTAACCTTTCTGGACCAGGCCCATAAGGTAAGGCACCCCATACATGCCTCCCCCCCAACAGGCTCTACTTGCTTGTAGTTCATGGCGGTCACAGGTCCGGAACTAAATAAAAAGTATGTCTGGCCGTGGATTATTGAACTACTAAGCGATGGCGTGGTGGAAGTTTCAACTCGCGCATTCCAAATTATCCGTAAGCCACCTTGCTACACCACTTGACCACCACCACCTGACCACCACCACCTAACCACCACCACCCGACCGCCACCACCCGACCACGACCACCGGACAACCACTTGCTCCTGCGAAGACCCCGAGCCTCGGCTCCGAAGCCACTGGGCCTCTGTTCCGAGCCACTGGGCCTCTGTTCCGAGCCACTGGGCATCCGTTGCAAGACACTGGGCCTCTATTGTGAAGCCCGTGGTTGTAATTAATTATCGACGTTTTATAGATCACTGTATGAAGTACCTGGATGCGGAGGTATACCAGTCGTGTGTGGCAGAGAGTGTGGCTGAGTTCCTGAAGGACCCGGAGAGCAAGGAGGAGGACGCAGTGGCGGCAGTGGCATTGATTGTGGGGGATTCGGCCGGGTCGATGAAGTCTTCGGAGTTGGCGCGTTGCTCCGAAGTTCTAATGGGGCATTCGTCGAGTGTGGTGCGAACCAACTTGGTATCACAGTTCCCGTTCATTCTGGGTTTGCTGGACGAACCGGGTGCGGTCCATTCGTTGGTGACTGCAGCGTCCAAAGACGTACAGTGGAGGGTACGAGCGGAATTAGCGAAGCACTTGGGCGAGATCAGTCAGGTCTTCAGCGCAGATGAGTGCCTCAAGCTGCTGGTCACGGCCCTTTTAGACCTATGCGACTTCGTTCGGAACGCCGTCGTGACCAACCTCCATTCGATTATACAACACTCCTCAACGGTCACACTTGACCATGTCATCGGCTGCCTCTTCACCTTATGGAAACTGAACCACGCTCCCCCAGACGGAGGCACCGCCATTGCGATACCAACCACAGACATCCTTTACGAGGTCGTCATGCGATCCAAAAGAAACATCACTTCGTATATTGTTACCAAAACGCTCATCCGAGCATTCGTCGTAAGCCGGGCGGGACTAAGCTGGGCAGGCTCTAGCCAGTTGACGCTCTCACGTCACTCCGTGATCGTCTGACTTTCTCGTTCTTCCAGACGTGCCTCATCATAGACGACCGACCGAGCGATAGAATTCTGGAGGATATAATCCTCCTGTCCACAGCGGATTCCATCCCAAATATTAGAAGGCTCGCCTGGAAGTCTCTGGAAAAACTCCACCAAGCAAAGCGGGTTGGCGGAGACGTTCTGGCCGCAAGGCTGGAACAGCAATTACCGCGTGAAGGCGATACTGACGTGCTCGAAACAATGAAGGTTTTGAAGGCTACAATTTAGCACACACGTGTGCGGACGCGCTTTCGCAATGAAACTCCTTTATAGTGAGTTTTAAATCCCTGGACAATTCAATTACGCAGTTTTGAGTACTATTTGCCACGCTCTAGATATTACGGATATTCTAAAAGGCATAAACCCCTTACCCAGCAACGCTATTCTAGCTCCGGCAGATTTCCAGAAAGTATATCAAAGCGGAGGTGAGTCTCGTTGGTTCGAAAATAATTACAGGCGCTCATACTACTACATTATCGCGCTGCATACTACGTGACCATGTTACATAACTGCGTACTACGTTACTGCATGATTGCGTACTATTAGCGGGTATTATGTGATAGTCATCACACAATAATATGTAGAGCCAATTCCGTTGAAGATTCATGCGGACATCGAGGCCATTGGTCGGGAATTCGTCGCAGCGAGACGGAGTGAGAATGATGAGCTGGAGGCTGATGTAGATCGGCAACTGGAGCTATATTCGGTGTTGAAGAGTATGCTGGAGCGTGAGAAAGCAGCGACCCGAGAGTTGTTGAATTTTTTCGCGCTGCATATGAACTGACTTTCCGATTTTTATAGCCGCATGAGTTTCCTCTTCGCTTCACCGTTGGGTGTTTTCTGAACGAGATCTCGGACGTAGAGGGGCGCGATTTCCTTGATCCATTCGAGTTCGACTTCTGTGCAGGTCCTTATATAATTCTTGGTGGTCATGACGAGTTCGTGGTATATGACGAATTCTGCGTTATGTCGGATGCAGCAACATGGGTGCAATGCGACGACTGTATTATCCGGCAGTGTATTGTACGCCTTGCATTTGCCGCCATAGCACAGTTGCAAGAAGAAGCCAGCGCAGAGGCCCTTACGGACGGCGGTCCTACGTCGTAGTTCGTTGTGTGTGACACAGGTGACTTCCAGGCCGAGGCGTGTATAGAGGTTCTGCAGTTGCGCGCGTATCTTTTCGGCTGCGGCGAGAGACCTTTGATTGAGAAAGTTTTCATAGCACCAATCGCGTTCGTACTGGTTCTGTACGTACTCTTCGTACACCTTGAGTAATGTGTAGTGGTCGCTAAGATCGTCGCTGAATTGTGCGTGTGCCAAGTCCGCTTCCTTCAGGCAGTCCCGCGGCCGCATGAAGGGTGTGGGCACGGAGAGCATGGCGCAAATTATGAGCATTTCCGGTACGCACTGGTGCTTGCCGCTATCCACGAGCATGGAGGCCAGCTGCGGGTCCAGCGGGAACTCCGCCATGAGTTCACCCTTGGGCGTCAGTTGGCCCTCACCATCGATGGCGCCTAGATAGTGCAGTTCTTCCAACGCTCGCATCATGGTCTCTACGGCCGGCGCTTCCATGAACGAAAACTTGACCAAGTTCTTCACTCCCAACTTCAACAATGTCAGGACCACACTACCCAGGTTCGATCTGAGAATCTCCGGGAAAGTTTGCTCCACCAACTCCGTCTCGTACGAACCTTGGGTATAAAGCCGATAACACTTACCCGGCTGCGTACGTCCTGCACGTCCCGCACGTTGTTTAGCACTAGCCTTACTAATCGGCGAGACCAACAGCGACTCGATGCGTGTACGTGGATTGTATGCCTTTTGCTTACTGAAACCCGGATCCACCACGTACACAATCCCATCTATCGTGATGGAGGTTTCCGCAATATTCGTCGCTATTATACACTTACGTCCCTCCGGCTGTCCCGGCCTCTCCGACGTCGGCGCCGGCTCGAAAATACGCTGCTGCTGCGCAGGAGGCAGCGATGAATACAAAGGAATTGACCGCAACTCACCCCTCGTACTCCACATACGAGAGCTGTCCCGATCCAAGGCCTTCTTCATCTGGTCAATCTCCTCCTCCCCCGTCAGAAATAACAAAATGTCACCAGGACCTTCCTGCCCATGGATCTGCAGCACTGTCCGTAACGCAGCGTCGAAGTAACTCTCTTCCGGCTCTAAAACGAAAAGTGCTTAGCCCCCGGTTGCCGGGGGGGGGGTTGCGCCGACGGGGGT